TGTAGGCTTGTATGGGGAATGATAAAAAATGACAGGAAATGGAAAAGAATATAGATATCCAATGCTGATGATGGGCAGAGGGTTGTTTTTAATAATAAAGAGAAAGCAGATAGCAAGGACATTAGTTAAAGTACACAGCACAGACAATTTAAGCCAAGAGGAGAAAAGAGGGAGGGAGGAAACTTGGAAAAGATATCAGTTTGATTTAGGGAAAGATGACGAGGACTAGGTATTAAATCTAAATTTCTCAGGGACTGAGCTTAGTAGGGCATTGAAGAAACTTGTGAAAACTGCTCCAGGAACAAGTTTGGTGACCTCTAAGTTAGATTTTCTAACATAGCACAACACATTTAATCTCTCCCTGGAGCAGTTTTCACAAGTTTCTTCAATGCCCTACTAAGCTCAGTCCCTGAGAAATTTAGATTTAATACCTAGTCCTCGTCATCTTTCCCTAAATCAAACTGATATCTTTTCCAAGTTTCCTCCCTCCCTCTTTTCTCCTCTTGGCTTAAATTGTCTGTGCTGTGTACTTTAACTAATGTCCTTGCTATCTGCTTTCTCTTTATTATTAAAAACAACCCTCTGCCCATCATCAGCATTGGATATCTATATTCTTTTCCATTTCCTGTCATTTTTTATCATTCCCCATACAAGCCTACACTCCTTTGGCTTTGTAAACCATGGAACAATTTTATTAATTATTTTAGGTTTAGATATAGGTATTGCCATGCTGCTGCTTCAATTATTCCACTGCTAACTCTTATGCACATACTTTCAACATCTAAACTATCCTCAATCTTTTGCAAAAGATCTTCACTGATTTCCCTACATTTTTCCCAATCTGCTATTTCTAAAATCCACTTCTCCTGTCTCACTCCAATTTCTTTTACATATTCTAGGGATGGAGGGATGATCGGGTGTCGCGGGGGCACTTCAGATCATTTTGGAAGGGCACTTTCTATCTAAGACTAAAAAGGGCATGTGCACTGCACAGGTTAAGCCCTATGTGTGCACGTGCCTGTCCTTGAGTGACTTTTACTTGCATTCTTTTTATTTACCTCACACTTCAGTATGCTGAACTGTGATATACATGTGATATATATATACACACACACACACACACACACACACACACACACATATACGTATATATATATATATATATATATATATATATATATATATATATATATTAATATCATTCATTTTCTTGTCGGCTTAGTACCTTTATTAACCCGGGGTCACACAGCGGAATGAACTGCCAACTTATCCGGCAAGTTTTTTAACACATTTACACACTACGGACAATTTAGCCTAATTCACCTGTACCGCATGTTTTTGGACTTTGGGGGAAACCGGAGCACCCGGAGGAAACCCACGCAAATGCAGGGAGAACATGCAAACTCCACACAGAAACGGCAACTGAGCCGAGGCTTGACCCAGCGGCCTTCTTGCTGTGAGGCGACAGCACTACCTACTGTGCCACTGCTTCACATATACATATATATATATATATATATATATATATATATATATATATATATATATATATATATATATATATATATATATATATATATATA